AAAAATGACCTTCTATTAATTAAAGATTGTATGTTTTAGAGGAGAAAATCAGTTTTACAAAGGTATATTTTGTAATGTCCCATATCGGTTTTCTCAGTCAACAAGGGAAAATACTTATAATGGCGAGATATTAAATTATTTTTACAATTTCTATTCAATATAAATATAATTGATAATTGTGTCTATGTTAAATGTTCATACTTGTGAGAAGAATAGATATTAAGAAAATAATAGTCAACACACAGATTGTCAACTTTTCTTCTTCGTTTTTTTTTTGCATAAACATGTCTCAATCTCAGATTTTTATCGAGAAAAAATAAGATGTTGATTCTGTTTCTTTCTTATGATAGACAATAGTGCAAACATGATATTTTTCTCTTGCGTTCTTTCATCTAATAAAACAAAAACATTCTCAAGACACACATAGAAAAAACTTTTGGTCACATCATAAGTTTCACACTTTTACATTCTTTTCTTTTTTTTTTTACTTCTTATTAATACTATAGTGACGTGAGTAAATTATAAAAAAAGAAGGTTTTAATTTATACTCTGTTGTGTTAATCGAGTTTAAAATGATTCCACGGATGTTTGACGTTATAAAAGAACCTCAAACGGTTCTGTCGGCTATTGATGGGTACCAAAACTGCCCTCTTTTGCCGTTGGACATTGCAGTTAAACCTCTTATTCAATTCTTTGAAGATGGAAGTCTTGAGCGTAATGTTTGGATTGTGAAAGAACGATGTAAAAATCCATCGAATAATTTAACTGTTGATGAGTCTGCATCAATTATGTTATACACATTCAATTGGGATATCAATCAAAAGAGTCTTTATTATTTATTAAATGAAGCATTACGAATGGAAAAAAGAGAAAAACTTCAACCTTGGCATAGTTATTTAAAACTTCTTCTTACTGCTCTTTATCGTCTTCCACCTATAAAAGAAACAATTTTCCGTGGTGTTAAACGTGATATATCATCACAATACATCGTAGGTCAACATCAGTTCTGGTGGGGTTTATCATCATGTACAGATTCAACGGATTTATTGGAAACGACACAATTTTGTGGAAAAGAAGGAGAGAGAACAATATTTTTAATAAAATGTAGTAGTGGACGTTCTATAAAACAACATTCATTTTATCATGGTGAAAAAGAAATTTTATTAATGCCTGGTTTTTACTTTCAAGTTCAAACTAATAACGATCTTGGAAATGGTCTTCGTTTTATTCAAATAGTCGAACAAGAACCTCCACATATAATGCTTCCATTGCCTGAGAAACCTGGAATTTTCATTGAAGCTATTTGTCGTAATGAGACATGTTCCATCTATAATCGACAGATACGAATATCATTTGGATGCCGCTCTCTCAATGTTGTAGCAGATCTTGATGAAACAAATTGTAAATGTCCATTATGTTCTCGATATGTACAACCTGAAAAATGCGGAGTAATAAATTGTTGGTGGCGTTGGTCAGGTAGAAAAAAAGAAAAACCATCAAAACCACCTGTAAATTGTTCAAATGATTGGATCTATGCAGACGGTCCAACTTACTTTCAACAGAATGATGATGAAAATTCGACAACCACATGGCTACAATTATTTATTGAAGCGAAAGATAAATCCTTGTGATTGAATGAAAATTGAACGTTCTCATGTATCGAGCACTTCAATGAAATAAAATAAAGTCCGACTTGAATTCAATTTAGATCGAATAAGAAACATAATTTTGTTGCCATAAAAAAATTTTTTGCTTCTTTTTTCTATTATTTTCATACAGAAAAAAGAAAGAATATACAAAGCCAACTATATTAGCGAACAATAAGTTTATTATTGATCTCTGGTAGGAGTTTGTTATAGGTAACAGTAAAAATACTAATTGATTCGAGAAATATTTGATCAACTTCAGATATTACGATTTATTTTAAATATTAAAGAAATATGCTAAGTCTCTTTTAAAAATTTTCTATATTTAAAAAAATACTATTCAAAAAGACAAACTGTCACTCATTACAGAATTATATTTCTTATTCTAATCATAGCATTTTACAATGTAAAATAGTCCTACAACTATAATAGTCTGTACTGACATCACTATTGTTATCTTGATTTGAATTTCTCTATGAAAACTTTTCAATAATACTCTTTTTCCTCTCTTCTCAACTCATATTTTCATACAATGCAAATTATTCGCTTACTTCACATTATTGTCAACTTCATTCGAACAAATTTGTATCACAATCGTAGATATTATCTCGTTCACCAATCAACAATATTGGAGTTATTATCTCTTATTTGACTTTTATTGTATGCATGTGCGTAGTAGGCAGACGAGTACATGAGTGTAGGTCTATCCTAGAGATGCCTATGGCGGTGCTACGGCCACGATGGCATCAGCGGCACTTTTCCTAAAAATCACTGCGGTGCGAGAGATATTTCAAGAATATTGTCGTAGCAGCGGCAACTTCGTTTTTATTGAGATTGTAAAATTGAATAAATTTGCACCCAATTTGAGTGTCTACAAGTCCAACAGTCAGAATCGAGATTGAGTCTAATGGACTCAATCCAACTGAGCTAATTTAGCACAGCGGCAGAAGACATTTTCATAGAATTTCTCGAAAATCATCGCAGCAGTGGCAAAGGGTGAGTGATGTGGATGTGCGGATGTGATTCGATGTGATCAAAGAGATCTTTATACCTAAAATGCTATTGGAAAAACAAATATAATTTAAATAAACAAGCTAAGGAGTATTTTTATTTTGCTTCAATACCGATTGATATTGTCTAAAGGTTAACGTTGAATTTCTTTTAAAAAAAAAAGAAAGATGAATTTGAATAAGAGTTGAATCTTGATAAATAAAATATAGAGAGAATATGAAGTCAACTTCTTATATTCGATCTTAAGAAAAGAGCCGATGATATTTCTCCATGATTTTCAACTATATTTGAAAAAAAAACAATGATTCTTTACATGAGCACTGATATCATAATCTTGAATAATTTGTTTAGAACTAAATCACTGATCACAATGGATAAATCGGCTAATGACAAATATCGAAAAAGAAATTTTTTTGATATTTGCAATATCATTCGTTTTGTACGTAATTATATTAACATCTTCTAAAGCATAAATACCGTTTTTCTTTTTTAAATCGAACCAGGTCAGAAAAAATTCATCTTTTGTTTGTCCGTAAATAAAATCTTGAAAAAAACTAAATTATTGAATTTATCAAGAATATTTTAATGTCAACGTTGATGAATAAGATAATTTTAATAGAAGAAATTCTCCATTATTATCTTCTTTGTTTTAATTGTTTAATTTTATAATACGGAATTTGATAAACAAGATTTTTCTTTTCATAATTAAAATAGTTTTTACTTGTTGACAATATGTTTATTATGTATATTTAAAGTAATAGAAAATACGGCCGATGAGTATTATATCCTTCGAAGATATACCTCTAAAGCATAGTTGATCCTCAGAGATTCTTATATATATACTAATTAACAATTATACAAAGACGACGAAAAGACAATAGAAACCTGATGCGACTAATTCGTCATGCTACTGTAGAAATAAATTCCAATGTTCGAAATGAAGATTGTATTGTTTATCTTGGAATAAAACTTGCAAGGAAACCATTTCAGTTGATCAATCGTTTTTTTTAAACGAATACTACTCAATTCTAGGTTATCAACCATTCTGATGCAGAATATAGAGACATGAAAAGTCCATTTAGGTCTCTATAGACTAGTTTCCTATAAGTCTGCTTTTCAAAAAGAACTCATTTTTTGTCGAATGTTTTTTGACCTATCGAGATTATAAAAAATAAATTAATTTGGAAAATTAATCTATGGAAGCCTAAGAAGATTTGTCATGTCGATATTGAAAAATGATCATGATTGATAACCTAGAATTGAATAGTATTGATTAAAAACACGATTGATAAATTGAAATTATTTTCTTGTCAATAGAGAACAAGGTGATTATTTTCAAATTGATATTATATTTCGATTTCCTAGATTTACTTCAACATTGAAATGAAAAGTTTTAGCTCAATGATGTGTTAATACTTTACTTAAAATTGATTCGTCCGGTGAACGTTCACAAGTTAAAAATCTAGATAACAAATAACATTATTCAAGTGAAAAAGAATTTCTTTTTACTTCTTATTCCCTGCTTAAACTCATCAGTATAAATAGAAAACTAATTACTTTTAAATCAATTGATAACCAAAGTAAATTGAAAAATCTTTCGAAATAATTCTATCTGCTATTATCCGATACAGAATAAAAGACAGATAACCATTTTTCAAATAACTTTTCATAGAAACGAGATAGAGACCTCCGGTTTTCACCATTCGAAAGAGCGATGTTCTGGTCATTCATTAGTATAGAACTCATTAAGACGAAAGATGCTTTTGTTTTTTTATAGGTACTTTTCGATCAACACATTTCTCTTTGAGTATGTTCACAATAATCTCAACTAAAATTATGTCAAAATCTAGCTAAAATCATCCTCTTTTCGCTATAAAATTAACATTTGTTTTTTTAAAATCCGCCTGGAATAAGAGGTTGAGAGATAATGAAATATGTAATCATTTTAAGGAAATAAGGATGATTTGAGCTAGATTTTGACACAATTTTAGTTGAAATTTTTATGAAAATACTCATAGGAAAAATTGTTGATTCAAAGGTACCTGTAAGAAAGCATGTTTCATCTTAATGAGTCCTATACTGATTGATGGTTCGGACATCGTTCTTTCGAATGATGAAAACTGCAGCTCTCTATCACGTTCCTATAAAAAGCTATTTGAAAAATGGTAACCTGCCCTTTATTTTGGATCCGATAATACTTTTATAATCAAATACACTATTAAATAGAATGAAACCTTTTTTTTTTTATGAACGAGTGGAGAATGATTTTATAGATTCTATAGTAGAGTGAAAAATTTGAAGAAAGCTAAAATATGACTCAAATCCATATCTAAACTAATGAGTTCAAACCTTTCTTCATTTTTTCAGCCGAGAATTGAATGATAACATTGAAAATTTTCCCAGTGATATCTTATAGTAAAATCGTTTCGCTATCAATTTATATCTGAGAAAAAAATGGTGTAGTTCAATAATTCGATAAGTATGATAATTGTTTACATCTAGACTCAAACTACTTTATGTATCTTTAACAGGAAATAGAAAAATGTATCACTATGAATTATATATCTATTTTCATTGCTAGATTTATTTTGTTTATTTACCATTTTGACATCACTACATTTTATCTATTTTCAGTACTTAAGTTATAATTTGAAAACATAAGAAAATTTTCGATAAAGATAATAGTCTATCTTATATGAATGAGCAAAGATTCGAGAAGTTTTATTTGAATAAATCTTGAAAGATAAATTGATCAGATGAGAATGGCGTGATACAATATGTTCTTTTTCGACATAAAGATCTGCTTTCGAAATAAAATAGATGAAATGTCATTCTCTCACCTGAAAGAAAAATCTTATCTTATTATTACATCATATTACAGGTTTATATAACATTTTTAAAGAATAGAAAAAAGAAGATATTCTATTCATTTTTTAATCTATTAAATTTTAAAAATCTATCAGTTTTGTTGATATATTAATAATGGCATGGCGATTAATATGTGATCGTGGTCAACAAGTATGGAAATATCTAAAAAATGAAAATTCAACTGAAATTTATTTTGATAAACAAAATCTAAATAGTGCTGATAAAGTTTATCGAGAAAATGCTATTCAACTAAATTATAAACCATTAAATATTGATGAAAGTCAATATGATAAATTAAAAATTCCAATATTTAATGAACAATTATCATCATCAGCTGTAAAAAGTACATTAAATGCAATAAATTATTATAAATCATTACAAGTAGAAGATGGTCATTGGCCTGGAGATTATGCTGGTCCTATGTTTTTATTACCTGGTGCTATAATAACTGGTTATATAACAAAATTTGATTTTACAGAAGAAGAAAAATATCAAATGATTAAATATTTATTTAATCATCAATTATCTGATGGAGGTTGGGGAACTCACATTGAAAGTAGATCAACTATGTTTGGTACTGTTTTAAATTATATATCATTAAGATTATTAGGAATATCTTTTAATGATCAAAGAATTAAAAATGCTTATAAATTTATTCAACGAGAAGGTGGTGCTATGTATGCACCAAGTTGGGCCAAATTTTGGTTATGTGTATTAGGAGTTATGCCATGGGAAGGTGTTAATTCATTATTTCCGGAATTATGGTTATTACCTCAATGGTTACCTTTTCATCCTTCTCGATATTGGTGTCATTGTAGAATGGTTTATCTACCAATGAGTTATATTTATGGTGAAAAAATTGTTGGAGAAATATCTCCACTTATTAAACAATTAAGAAATGAATTATATATTGATAAATATGAATATATTGATTTTACCAAATATCGAAATTCAATTAGTCCGTTAGATTTATATAGTCCTCAAACAATTTTATTAAAAATGTTGAATTTTTTTACAAATAGTTATGAACATATATATAATCGTCAATTACGTAATAAGGCAAGTGAATTTTTAATAAGTTATATTGAAGCAGAAGATGAACATACAAATTATATTGATATTGGTCCTGTTAATAAATTTCTAAATATGTTATCAGTATGGCATTCAAAAGGACGTCAAAGTAAACAATTTGAATTACATTTAAATCGAGTTAATGATTATTTATGGTTAAGTGAAGATGGAATGAAAATTCAAGGTTATAATGGTTCACAATTATGGGATACTGTTTTTTCAATTCAAGCTATTTTAGAAACAGGATTAGCACATTTATATACAAATTCTCTTAATTTAGCTTATTATTATTTAGATATAAGTCAAGTATTAGAAGATGTTAAAGATAATATTAAATATAATCGTCATATATCAAAAGGTGGATGGCCTTTTTCAACAAGAGATCATGGTTGGCCAATAACAGATTGTACTGCTGAAGGAATTAAAACAACATTATTATTACATGAACAAATATTTAATTGTCCTCGTAGAATAACATCTGATCGTTTAGAATATGCTATTCATTTTATTCTTAGTACACAAAATAAAGATGGTGGATGGGCATCATATGAACTTCAACGTTCAGGATCTTGGATAGAATGGTTAAATCCTGCTGAAGTCTTCAAAGATATTATGGTTGATTATTCATATGTTGAATGTACTTCTGCTTGTGTACAAGCATTATTGAAATTTCGTTTAGAAATTCATTTTCCTAATCATAGACGAAAAGAAATTGACATTGCAATTGATCGTGGAATTAAATTTATAAAAAAAAATCAAAGAAAAGATGGAAGTTGGTATGGTAGTTGGGCTGTATGTTTTACATATGGTACATGGTTTGCTATTGAAGGTTTAATTGCTGCTGGAGAATCAACAGAATCAAATACAATAAAAAAAGCTGTAGAATTTTTACTTTCAAAACAAAATTTCGATGGAGGTTGGGGAGAATCTTATTTAAGTTGTGTTTATAAATCATATATTGATCATAAACAATCTCAAGTTGTTAATACAGCTTGGGCTGTTTTATCATTAATGTCTGCAAAAGCAGATTCAATTGCAATTCGAAAAGGAATTCAATTTATTATTAATAAACAATGTTCAAATGGAGATTGGAATCAACAAAGTATTAGTGGAGTTTTTAATGGAAATTGTATGATTAGTTATACTAATTATAGAAATATTTTTCCTATTTGGGCACTTGGAAGATTTATTAAAAATAATTATATACAACAATAAACTGTTTTTTCTTTTATTTTTATAGATTTAAAATGCTTGAAGATTTTCTATGAATTTGAAGTTTTCTAAAATAAATTCCGAAAGTTGTCATAGTTAAATATAGTGTCTTAAGATAAATGATACGAGTAAAACTCATCATTATCGTATGATCTTGTATATAAAAATAAAGCGTCCAATAGATATACGAGAAGAGTACATCAGCAGATTTTAAAAAGATCATTTTATCTTTTCAGGAAGAGAAATAAAATGTTCTATAAAAGAAGATCATACAGAAATATATTCATTGAAATAGTTTATTTAGACAAAATATTATTTTAGTACTAATCATGTATTGGATTTTATTCTTGATAATATTTGTAGTAACATTCTATATTATTTATAGAAAAGGAAGAAAATTATTAAAAAATGATTCCGATATAAAATATAATAATGCAATAATAATGGGTGGAAGCATTAGTGGAATGACAACTGCTGCTTATTTATCAAAATATTTTAAACATATAACAATAATAGAAAATGATGATGTTTTAAATGAAATATTAATGAAATCAACAGATAAAGAATTATTAGATTATCGTTGTAATTTAAAATGTTCAAGTTCAATAGGTCGTGGAAGTGTTACACAAAATTATCAAATTCATGTTTTACAAGGTGAAGGTAGTAAAATTTTATTTGAATTATTTCCTAATTTAAAAAATAAATTATTAAATGAATATGGTGCTCGAATATGTTCATTAAAAAATAATTTTAGATTTGTTATTGGTGATGTTTTATTAAATAAATATTTAACAGAAGATCTTTATTGGTTTTGTATTGATCGTTTTACATTAGAAACGATTTTAAGAAGAGAATTATGTTTACAATATAATCAACAACAAATTCAATGGATATCTAATACTAAAGTAATACAATTAATTGTTAATCAATCAAATAATTCTGTTCTTGGTGTTAAATGTCGATCGAAATTAAATTCTCATACACAACTAGATTTTTATGCTGATTTTATAGTTGATTGTACAGGAAGATATTCTTCATCGACTAAATGGTTAAAACAACATTTTAATTTAATTATTCCAACTGAACAATTACATGTTGGAACTGGTTATGTTTCATTTGTTGGTGAAAGATTAAAGACAGGAAATTCTTTATTAGATTCCATACATGTTGGTGGAAATGCAGCTCATGCACCAAATCATAATAAAGGTTTTCTTACAACACCTATTCGACAAATAAAAAGTTCAGATCCAAATTCGTTAGGATTAATATCAAATTTTGCTGTTTATTGTATAAATAGTGAATATCCTCCAAATGATTCATATGAAAATCTATTAGAATGGGTAAAAGAATATCTTCCTATTGATTATTATTTAATATTAAAATCAACAAAACTTTTAAGTCCATTACTACCATATCGACGTGCTTTTGATGAACGAAAATATGTTGAATTATTAGGTCGAAAATGGCCTCAAAATTATATATTAGTAGGAGATTCAATGTGTGTATTTAATCCAAAAAATGGTCAAGGAATGACTCATGCATGTAGACAAGCACAACAATTAAATGAAATATTTAAAGAAAAATATCAATTAAAATATATATCATTTATTTATAATCGTCGAGCTGCATCAATTAGTGAAGAATGTTGGCTTGGTTCAATTACAAATGATTGGGCTGTACCAACATTAAAATTAATTATAACTGATAAATATGGTCAAACAAAAACATATAAAAGAAGTCAAGATTCAACATCGATTTATCCTCAACCAAAAACACCATTATTTATGGAATTTTTACAATGGTATACTTATTGGTTAATTAAATCTGCTGCACAATCAGGAGAATTAACAACTGCTTTTATACATGTTGTTTTTCAAGAAAAATCTCCATATTCATTATTACAACCGAAATTTTTCTTTAAAATTCTTTATTCTTCTCTGAGACATTATTTTAATTTAACAAAACTTTTCGATTAATTTTGATCTTTGTTAATAAAAAAAACTAACATTTGAATATAGATGACAATTAATCTATATATAATATGTCAAAGTCTGACTGATGAATCATGTCATAATAACCGCATGTTGACATACGATTTGAAAAGATTTCTTATCAAATTTAAATAAACCCACTTGAAATATTTGCATCAAAAAAAAATCGTACGATATGGCGCGATCTTGGCCTGTTTAAAACAAACGTGAACTTTGAGTTCGATTTTTTCTTTTCATTTTATTATTTGTTGATGTCACTTTTACCTTATCAGTTATCTTTACAAATGAAAAGAACATAAAAGAATATGCATCAATATTCAGAGAAGAATTGAACATATTATAAACATGAGTCGTTAATAAACTAAACCATTAGCAAGGGTTACAGAGATTATGTAAAGAATAGGCTCATCAAATTATTAAACTAATTAAGCAAGTGTTAAATTTACTTTGATGCTGAATGGTTTCTATTACAATATACTCTATAGTATGTTCTTCAAAACAACGGGATACTCAGCGCTTACGATCATTTTCATTATTTATGATTATCCTAATCGTTTCAACATATTTGTTTATTTACAGATATTAATATGGAAAAATGTTCGATCATATCTTTAAAAAATTGGCAATACTTGAGAATAGTTGATCTATACAAACGAGAGTATGAGACATAAGGGACGCGACTCTCTAAAAAAAAGCCATTTCCTAGAAAATCCAAACGACTTTGGAAATCCCTTAGAGTATCCGAAAGGATTTCCGGTCTCAACCGTGAGTTTCCGTGATATCCTCTTGGCTTTCGGATGCTCGAAAACCCTTTGGTTTTCGAGAATGCCGATTCGGATACTTTAATGATATTGAGGGAAACCGTAAAGGTATATCAGGAAACCCATCTTACTAGCAAAATCGATTTTCTACCCCAACAGATATCCGATAATACCATTTTGGTTTTCAATGAAATACTTCGGAAATCGAAAGAGTTTTCAATGCTTCTAAATCTCGAAAAAAGTATAATGGAAAACCCTAAATAGGTTTCCGAATTTTTTGAGACCTTCTAAGATTTCTGAAGTTTCGAAAATCTTCGAAAACTGTTTCTCTTAAGTGATGGTACAGTCAAAAAACTATTTGAAAAAAGCATGGTTGATATTCGAATTTCGATCTTCGTTTTGTTTTTATTTCAACAGTTTTTAGAATACTTGAAGCGACTATGTGTTTATCACAAGGCATTTGCTCATCGATGATTGCTTCTTGGCATGAATATATTTTTAAACATATCCATTTTATTCTCTCAAAATAATCAAACATCATTTTTACATTGTTAATCCAACTGAAGTTGCCGATATAGGACGAAAAATATAGGCTTGACAAAACTCAAACCATCGAATAACAACATTAGCTCCTGAATTGGTCTTTTCTCTTTGCTGTTTTATAAAATGAGAACGATAACATTTCGATGAAGATAAAGTAATTGAAATGAAGCTAAGATACTCAAGAGAGAAATCTGAAAGAAAAATGTAAAAAACATCTAACAACGCAATTGTCAGAGAGAAATACGTCAAAAAAATAAATTATACTAGAAACAGTCAAAAAGATATGTATTTTTTATTTTCCTAGACATCAATCATACAAGATGCACCTAATGAAATACAAAAATTGGAAGAAAAAGCTGAAACACTTAAAACAATTTTTCAAAACAAATCAATTGATGATCAACATTATCAACATTTATGGCTTGAAACTTTTGATTATCGACAAAATTTTATTAAGCAAAATATAACTACAGATCTTATGGAACAGTTTCCTGTTTATTCAAATTCATCTATGGTAAAAAAAAATTGTAACACTTTCAGATCACATTTTCATTTCAGATATTGACAGATGTTAAACTATTAACAGGTGTAAATTTGGATTATTCTGTTAAAGAAAAAATGAATTTGCTTTCTAATGAAATTTGTTCTAATAATAAATTTTTAACAGATATGGAAAAAAGTTTGCAGTATACTAAACAGTCATTTTGTTTATTAGATGATCCAATTGTTCGTTATTTTAAAGTATTATGTAGTATACTAAACAATTCATAGAAACATTACATTTGCTTTTATCCTGATGTAGGTTATCTGTATATGTTTTTAAATTTTCTAAAATATCGCGAACATTAAAAGAATAGAAGGAGTTAGTGAGATTTGGTCTCGTGTTCTCGTCAGCTAGGTAGTCTTCTTGGCTTAATTGAGAGACATCGCTTATTACTTTAGTTTTTCCTTATTTCTAATTACTACAGACTTTCTACCAACGCTATAGTTCTTTACTTTAAACTTTCTTAAACGTGTGGATATTAGTATGCTATTAATGTTATTCGATCAATCAGATATTATAAAGTATCATGAACAATATAGATGCTTCTATAAAATTGATTTTCTATCATAAATTTTCACACATAAAAAATTCCTTCTGTTTGACTTCGACATAATCTCTTATTACAAAATAAAGAGAAGTTCTTATTACATTCATTTTCTCTTAAACTGATGCTTTTTGATGTACCTCGATTGATCGTCTGATTATTTTTAGAATCCAGTTACTCCTCAACCAACAATGATAATTTAAGACAATGATATAAAAATTTACCTTGATTGAACATTCATTTGGTCATCAAATTCCATTGAACAGTCTGTTGTACTATATGTAATCGTTGGTTTATATTGTTTGATGAATCTCACAACTCAAAAATATCGTACTGCAGTGAGGTTTTTATATGTCTATTTCATGCACGACAAGCAACAACAGTCAAATATTATTTGCAAGTTTTGTAAAGTATATAACATTCAACTTCATGATAATCCTTCTTCATCATCTATTGCATCGCTGGAATAAACAAAATTAATGATGTTTATTTAAATAATACACACGAAAACGAGAGAGAACATAACGTGTATAATGCAGTTCAAATGAGAACATTATTTGAATCAACACCATTTGAACCAACACCGTTTGAACCAACATCATTTGAACAACGACCAACGCGTAAATGTAAATCAGATGAAAAACTTGATTTTGAGCTTTTATCTCAGGAGACTGATTCATCAAAACAAAAAACAACTCGAAATATCCGTCCAAAACGACGTCGACAATAAAGATACATTCACAACAACAAAAACTGTTTTACCAGCTCTCTCTTTCTCTTCTTGTATTACGAAGAGTTCGCCATTGTCGTTATTTTTCTTATAAAAAAAGACACTCATTCGTTTCCTCTTCTTAGCCTTTTTTAAACTATTCATTTACCGAGAGAGTTTCTTTCATCAACATATGGGAGATATTCATTCATGGAATTCCATTCGTTTCGTAGTCCTCCACATTTTTTATAGCTTTTGATTCTTCTAATAAACCATGCTGCACCATCATCAACATTTCAAAATTCTTATTGCAAGTCAAGGGGGAAACAGTGAACTTCAAGACTTCAATAGACTTTAACGGGCTTCAACCATAGTGACTTCATATTTTCACAAGACTTCAAAAGACTTCCTAGGACTTCAAAGGACTTCACAAGACTTCATAGGATTTCATGGGACTTCAAAAAACTTTGTGAAACTTCACGGATTTTGTGAGACTTCACAGACTTTGTTGGACTTCTTGAGACTTTATAAGACTTCATCAGACTTCATACGAGTTCATAAAACTTCACAAGACTTCGCTAGACTTCACAAAACTTCATTAGACTTCACAAGACTTCAAGAGGCAGATTCTATGAGCATCAAAAAACCTTATAGAAATTACATGAAACTTCTATAACATGCAAAAAACAAAACTTATCATATAGAGATTACAAAAATGTTTCTTGTTTCTGAGAATTGTTTCTCGCAGTATATCTATATCTAGAATAAAGATATGGCAATGACACAAAGCGTTGTTGAAATTAAAACTGAGACAATAAACTTTACTGGTATGCGTATAGTTGATTCGATTAATCCAGCATTGAAAAACTTCTACTTTCAGGTGCAAATAAATAACAAGACTAAATTTATACGCAAGCAAACGGCTGGTTGCTTATTGGCCGACAGAGCTAGCCGTTCATCGGCTGATAGATTATCACGAGTGATAGAAACAAACAAAAAGGAATAAAATTCTTCATAAAATTGATATGTGATAGATGGAACATTTCTTATAAAAATAAATCACTTCGTTCAAAAAGCATTCAGTTATTAACTATCATGTTTTCTAAAATCCAACAAACTTGAGTTTTTTTCAAGCACATTGAAAAAAAAATAAAAAGTTCCCCTTTCTGCTAAAATAAGACCATCGAAAACAAGACAATTTCATTGGTTTCTTATGAATTTTCATGCACTATCCAGGTCAAAAAATATGACAGCAGATCCTGTACGAATATATGAAATCGTACAAAAAATCGTAGTCTCTGAAATCTTACATCAATACTTACTGCAAGATTTCTATCAGATACAACCGTCGCATAAGATTTTCTAAAATCTTACAGTAAGATTTGGCTAGACAACAAAATCTGTCAAGAGTCTTACTGTAAGAATTGATGTAAGATTTCAGAGACTTAGATTTTTTTGTACGATTTGGTATGAATCGTACAAGATCATACATGATCAGACACAGAATCTTGTCCGATCTTAGTGTCCGATTGTTTGCCTTGGGATAAATGTATTTCAAAACTTCCAGAAGAATTCATGAGACTTCATTAGACTTCAAGAGACTTCAAAAAACTTCAAGAGACTTCATTAGACTTCATTAGACTTCATGAGACTTTATAAGTTTTTATGAGACTTCATTAGACTTCATAAAACTTTTTGAGACTTCAGAGACTTTAAGAGACTTTGTGAGACCTCATAAGACTTCAAGAGACTTCAGAAGACTTCGAAAGACTTCAGAAGACTACATGAGACTTCACGGTTGAAGTCTCTGCTGCTTCACCCTTGGATAACGGATAGTACGTTCGTATGAAAGGCTTTCTTTAGCATAAAAAGAATTCAGTAACACAAAAATACTTTCATCGTTCATGTTTTTTTTTCGCAGTTATTATATTTAAAGGTATTCAGAGAGATGCTTGAATTATATCACAAAATGTGAAGGTTTCATCAGACAGAAACTTGATATGAGGATAGTAAGTTTGTTTATGTACAAAGAAAACTAGTTAAGTCCTTCACAACACCATTTTCGTAGTTTCATAATCGTGTCTGATAAATTTCTCATCAGCAAATTCATCAACTTTTGCGTGAATACGTGACTTCTAAAGCTAAAACTGTACATCTCTATCTTGTTTTTTTTAAAAATTTTTTAGAGAATATTTAAAAACCTTGCGGTTTGAAAATGGATCATGGTTGGATTTTAATTTCAAAAGTTCTCATGGTTCTATGTTAGTTGAGTAATGTCACATATCCCGAATTTTGGAGATCTCCCTTACAGATGCCGCATCTCCAGCGAAAGACACGGCACCCACACTCGGGAGATGCAGTCATTCACTATTGGAGACAGCAGTGTCACAGTTCCAGGAAATCGAGCATCTCAGAGATCTCCAAGGAGATGAGATGTGGCATCTCTTACAGAGATTGGATGGGAGATACGGCATCTCTGTAAAGAGATGCATCTTCAGCGTCATCCTTAGGCTAAATTAAAATTTTTTTTTTAAATTTTAGTCTAGAGATGACGCTGGAGATGCAGCGCTGTAAGATATGCCGTATCTCTCATCTCATCTCTGTAAGAGATGCTGCATCTCCTCATATATGTAAAACTTGAAACTTGAATTCAATTCAACTTTCAAGTTTCAAGTTTCAACTTTCAACTTTCAATGAAAATATAAACATTTTGGAGATATT